TAAGCCCAGGATGGGCTCCTGATCCCCAGTTAAGCCCCGGGAGGGCTCCTGATCCCCAGTTAAGCCCCGGGAGGGCTCCTGATCCCCAGTTGATCCCAGGACGGGCTCCGGATCCCCGGTTGAGCCCAGGGAGGGCTCCGGATCCCCGGTTGAGCCCAGGGAGGGCTCCGGTTCCCCGGTTGAGCCCAGGGAGTGCGCCGGATCCCCGGTTAAGCCCGTGGAGGGCTCCGGTTCCCGAGTATAGCCCAAAGAGAGCTCCAGTTCCCGAGTATAGCCCATGGTGGGCTCCTGTTCCCGAGTTTGCCCCAGTGAGGGCTCCTGTCCCCGTGCTTAGCCCAAGGAGGGCTCCAGTCCCTGAATCCCCTGCAGAGCGCCCTCAAGTGCCCGCTCCTCCAGAGCCATGGCTCCCTGAGCTCCCTGCTCCACCATGGCTCCCTGAACTGTCTGCTCCGCCATGGCTCCCTGAGTCCCCTGCTCCGCCATGGCTTCCTGATCCGCCCTGGAGGCTGGTGCAGGACTGGAACAGGGCGGAGACAAGGAGAGCCTCCAGGCTCCCCCTTGCCGATGGTACTGTTACGGCGCGGGACGTGCCGTCCGGGAGGGGGGTGATCTCTCACGTGTATGTTCCTGTTTTCCTTATTTGGTCTTTCTTGTTCCTGTCCTCATTGTGTGAATGCGTTTCCAGCTGCGTTTAATTAGTTCATTTGCTCACAGGTGTGTCCCATTGGTATCTGTGCATTTAAACCCTGTGTTTCCCATCTGCTGTTAAATGTCATTCTGTCTGCTTAATGTCTCCAGTGTTCCCTGTGTTCTGAGCGTTACCCTCATTAAACCCTTTTGATTTGTATTACTCCTCGCTCCTTCGTTCCTTCCTCCCCGAGTGACCGTGACAAGTACATTCATTATGACATGGGTTTCACTTTATTTTACAGTCCTATTCTGCATGTACATACTATTGTACTGATTACATGCAGTAACAAGGTACTAACCCTGAATCTAATCTTAAACCATGTACAGTTTTTTACATTTTATGTATTGAAACTGTAAACCTTTCTGCTTATGTAGAATGTTACAGATCACTGGTTGAAAACTTTTACAAATATACTAAAACATAGTCATGTCTGAATCTGTCTAATTAATTAAATAACAATATACCATCAAGCACATGCTAGTCTTGAGCAGGCAACATGTTGCTTTGCAAGATGCTTCTCTATAAAGTGAGAACTTGCTTCTTTCTGATGATGTCAGAGAGACTGTGGTCACCTGTTAGTTTAGCTGAGGTTGCTGAAAGACGGGGATTAAATCAGTGTTTCCGTCAGCGAGTCCCAGCACAATCTGAGCTCCTTTACTGATAAAACCTGCATCACCTTTCACTGTGTTCATTGTCTAAACAGTGCAAACATATGTAATCTGCAGAAATATGGGCTGAGAACATGCAATTAAATCATTTTCTTTCTGTGTAAATCAGTGCTTTAATGGAAGTCTGAATGTGACAAATATAATTAAATCCCATTCATAAAACAATGACTGAGCAGAAATTAGAGTGGAATTATGCATTTTTTGTTTGTTCTGAAATCTGTTAATGCTGTCACTTGCCAATATAGAAAATAATTTCTTTCATTCAACTGTTTCTTCTGAACGCTCCACCTGCTTTATTTCAAATTTGACCATATCCTCCACAAGTCAAAACTAGCATGTTAAATATAACAAAGAAAATGGGAACAGAATAGCATTGCATCTTTCTTCCCCTTTATGTCTGTCAGTCATTTCTCTGGTGGCGCCAGGTTTCCACTCCTCTAACACTGAGGGAGCTGGATGTTTTCAGAACCACTCTGTGTCACTCGAGCATTGCTGCCACATAAACACATAAAGCCAATTCAGCCTAAGTTACTACATAAACACAGTGATCAGGTTGCGTTCTCACTCACTCACTCGCCCATCACCCTAGGCCTTGTGTTTCACAGAGCATTACGTGTAAGAACTATGTCTATAAGCATTCCAGAGAAGACGTGTTGATATGCACGACAGAACTGCACAAAATCCAAAGAAAAAGACACAATACCAGTGCTTGACCCTAACCTACATAATGTTACAGGGACTATGCTTTTTTTTTTGTGAATCTATATACATATGCGCCAGACAGATGTCTTTTTCAGCCCTGTGTACCCTGATTATTGTTTTGTTTTTTTTAAGATGCTGTGTAAAGTTAAAATTAGTTCAACAAAAATGCATCTTTTGACCCTGTGTTCTGTTTTATTCTGTCTGTTTGTGAACAAGGAATATATATATATATATATATATATATATAGATACACACATTTTATTTTTGGCCAAGGCTACATTTATTCATTAATCAAAAACACAGTAAAAACAGTGATATTGTTAAATATTATTACAGTTTTTAAATGACTGTTTTCTATTTGAATATATTTTAAAATGTAATTTATTCCTGTGATGAAAATCTGTATTTTCAGCATCATTACGCCAGTCTTAATTGTCACATGATCCTTGAGAAATCATTCTAATATGCTGATTTGATGCTTTAAGATTTATTTAGTTTTTTTTTTTAAATTTAGTTAGTTTTTAACCAGTGTTTGTATATTTATGAAGATATATTAACTGAATGCATAATTTAGCAAAACTAGATTTATAAACAATTGACACAGAAATATGTTCTGCTTTTGTTTCATGAATTGGGTTGAATATACTATACTCACAGCTTTGCTTTCATTCCAGTCAAATTATATACAACATCTACCCGGACTAAGTTACGTATATTTTGAAGTTTGAATATCTGCTGTTGGCAAAAAAAAATTGGGTTGTGACTTTGGAACGTCTCTACCACAGATTTCTGTGGTGTTTGGAAACAAAATGTCCTTTCATAGTTTGCCAAATGTCACATCATCATTATTGCCTATTTTATCTCAGCTGAGGTTGCGATTAGATCATTGGCAGTATTTATGTGACTCTCGGTTCACGTTCATGTCTCGAGAAGCCAAAGCTGCTGTCAAAGCCAAGGTCAAAGTGAAATTCACCCTCTCTCACACATTTGTCTCTCCCAGCCTCCCCCAGCCCCAGCTCCCCCTGTTTCTTTATGAGATTTCTCATGTATACCTTCTCTCATTTTGCTCTTGTTAAACTGTGCCCGTAGAGGGAGAGTGGAGGACAGAGGGAGGAGAAGAAAGAAAGAATGAGAGGCACATTTGGGGGATCCGCTCCATTCAGTAGGAGGAGGGGGCGAAGGCCTCTGTGGGCCGTAAAATCTGGAGTTCTGAAGACCCAGTTTTAGCTGTTTTTCTCTCATTTTTTACAAGTGGAGACTGAGGGGACAGCTGCTGCTGGTGTGAATGGCTGGCCAAGGTGACTCACTGCCAATAAAGTGCTGGTCAGGCAAGCCTCAGGCCTCGGTCAGACCACAGACGGGCTTTACGGGCGATCTTGAGACTGGACCTCTAGTAAAAAGCCAGTCATCCAGGCCTGAGGAATTTAGGGTCCAGGAAACAAGAGCATGAGGGGGGAGAGGGTGTCTCGAGGTGAAAGTTGAACTGAGTGACAGTGTGGACTTACGCTAAATATATTACACTGGATTCACACGGTGGTGTTTAAATTGGGCAAACCGTGTTAGATTATATGTCTGCGTCTCTATGGCTGGTGTCCGGGATGTTTATGAATCTGACTGTGGTACCATTTGGGTGCGTGACAGCAAGTCGAACACATGCTGAGGTGTCAGTCAAAGTATATTATCAATTCATCCATCTGCCCCGGAGCTCAGTTTTCCCATCTCTCTTCTCTTTCAACACCTCTGCCTCTCAGTGCGCTCACTTAATATTTATCTTCGAGCTCAGACCCCTGGGCAGATGCCTCTTAATGCATTTGACAACTTCAGTCATCAACCATCCAGTTTTTGTCTTTTTCATTCTAAATGTGCTAATATTATTTAAAATGGAAACACATTCCGATTAAGTCATGTTTTTTTGATGGTGCAGTGCTGTTAAATAATCTCACAACTTTGCCCAGGCTTACTCTAAACAATTACTCCGGGAAGGAAAAGGGAGTGAAAGTGGCTTTGTTGTGAAAATAGATTTTTACCATATTAACAGTATGAATAGATTTTACAATTTTTGAAGAGTGGTTATATTTTCCAGTGCAGAACTTGCCTGTGTGGACAGAGCGTTCGAAAAAATAACCAGATTCTTACCTTTGTAATCACCACTAATTATCTGCTCTTTTTCTTCTTGATTTCTGCAGCGGTGGAGACCCAGAGCACAAGCTCAGAGGAGATGGTTCCCAGTTCTCCTTCTCCACCCCCTCCTCCTCGTATCTATAAACCTTGCTTTGTGTGCCAGGACAAATCTTCGGGCTACCATTACGGAGTCAGCTCTTGTGAGGGCTGCAAGGTACGCAAATCTATACAGTATATATACTTTTGACCAACTAGTTAATCCACACTAATTAGTATTTCTCAAATTATATTTATGGTTTGGTCCAAACCTTAAAAACCTTACACTTTGATTTAAAATTGATCAAACAAAATATGTTCCCCAAAGACAGACAGACAGGCATAAACAAACAAATAAATATGTATTACTTTTTATAATAAGACCATACCATACTTAATCCACATATTTTATTTGGACAAAGCCTAAATGTTACTTAATGCCTAAGATCAAACTAAAAACATTCTGTTAGTCACCATTTAATTAATATAACAAAGAGTGAAAAATTTAAGGGGGTCTGAATACTTTCCGTACCCACTGTATATATAACATTTTCTATGAAGAGTGTTATTTGTTTTTAGACAAATTTCGAATGCACTTTAAATATATGACATACACAAAACAAAACCTGAGAATGCATTTTCCAATGTTAATCATGTTTGAACCTTGTAGTGGGAAAAAGATTTGTGGAAAATACAGCCTAATGTGAAGACTTATACAAGTAAGACACTTCTATTACATGTAATTACATTATAACACATCACATGCATAAAATAAGCATATGTGATGATTTGAGTGCTGCCACCTATTGATACTGCCAAGATCAAGACTTTTGTTTTCATTCAAACATACTCTTTAGTGCCCTCTGCTGATTTCTCTGTTGAAGTTAATAAAATCTGTTCTCTATTACACAACATTTTGAGTAATTTTCATCATCTAAACTTCATGAAATCACAAAGCCTTTAAGTTCAAACATGAATCATGAATTTAAACTTACCTTTTTTCTGTCTATATTTTTGTGTTTCTTCCTCTCTCTTATCTTCGTATCAGGGTTTTTTCCGTCGCAGTATCCAGAAGAACATGGTGTACACCTGCCACAGAGACAAAAACTGCCAGATCAATAAGGTGACACGGAACCGCTGTCAGTACTGCCGGCTGCAGAAGTGCTTTGAGGTTGGCATGTCTAAGGAAGGTAAAAATCAGAGCAGTACGTCACCATCTATATTGTTCTCAGTTCACACAACCAATAAAGACATGCAAGATGTAGTTTAGAGTGAATGCACGAGTTTGTAAAAAGCACATCTATGATTGCCTTTAAAAAGTCTTGTTCTGAACTACCTGGTATGAATAAAACCCAAAATAAATTATATTGTCTAACTCATGAGTAGCATGTTTTTTTTCTTTCTTTCTTTCTTTTTTTTTTTTTTTGAATTCATGTATGCTACATGGTTGGCTTCATTTTGTGTTGTTCTTTATCTTTAAGCGGTCCGGAATGACAGGAATAAGAAAAAGAAGGACATAAAAGAGGAGGTGGTTCTTCCAGAAAGCTACGAGCTGAGTGGTGAACTGGAAGAACTGGTTAATAAAGTCAGCAAAGCACACAGGGAAACCTTCCCTTCGCTCTGTCAGCTCGGAAAATACACGACTGTGAGTCCTGAGCTCTCACACTTTAATTCATATTCACATACATCCTTCTGTCTGTCAGCTAAATAAACATGAGCAGGACTGTGTGGGCCAAGATCATGCAAATGATCCGCACCAATGTAATCACATTACACATGCACTGAACCATCAAATATAATGTGTAGTTTCTCATTTAATATAAGGCTACTGTGATCAATCAATTGATTGCCTTATATTAAATGAGAAACTACACATTTTTTTCTGTACTTGTAACACTTCATATGCCATAAAGATAATTTATATCTATCTATCTATCTATCTATCTATCTATCTATCTATCTATCTATTGTATGGAGATGTATGGATAAGTATATTCAAAGTTTTTTCCTGTTTGACTTTTACTTCAGAATTCCAGTGCGGATCATAGGGTTCAGCTGGATCTTGGACTGTGGGATAAGTTCAGTGAGCTCTCCACAAAGTGCATTATAAAGATTGTGGAGTTTGCCAAACGTGTGCCAGGTTTTACTTCACTCACCATTGCAGACCAGATCACCTTGCTGAAATCTGCCTGCCTTGATATACTGGTAAATACAACAAAAACGTTAGGTTTATGTTTTAGGGGCAGTGCAAACAAGATTTATTCTTGCATTTAAAGACTAGATGAAGCACAAGGGAAGTTGGTAGAATGCATGGTTCTTCTAAGTAGTAAATTCTACAATAGATACCACATCTTAAAGGGATAGTTCACAAAAAAAAAAAAAAACGCCATCATTTACTCAATCTCAAGAAGATATTTTGCAGAATGAGGTTAACCAGACAGCTTTTTGGTGTGTGTTCAGCAGAAGAAAGAAACTTACAAAGGTTTGGAACAAGTGGAGGGTGAGAAAATGATGACAGAATTATTTGTATTTTTTTTGGGTGAACTGTCACTTTAAGGCCGATTTATTCTGCATTGAGAGATGCAGACAAACTGCAACAGATACATTCATCTGGTTTTGTTGGATCAGTGTGTAGACGCCCTGTCGGTGTGTGTTGGCATTGGTCAGCGCTTGTTTGTTTGTCATCTGAGGGGTGGCATACTGTAATATGGTGACTGTCGGTTTTGTTCTGTGTCTGTTTGTGCAGTGTGAATTGGCCTTTAAAAATTCAGTGCACATGGTGTGGGATTCTGAGAAAAAAAATTAGATACTGTGCCCTTTCATGTACTGTAGTTTTTTATTTTTCTTAATTGTTAAATTCAACTTTGCAGATGTTGCGGATTTGCACTCGCTACACTCCAGAACAGGACACTATGACCTTTTCGGATGGACTGACCCTCAACAGAACACAGATGCACAACGCTGGTTTCGGCCCACTCACAGACCTGGTGTTTGCTTTCGCTGGGCAGCTCCTGCCCCTGGAGATGGACGACACAGAGACAGGGCTCCTTAGCGCCATCTGCCTCATCTGCGGAGGTACTGCTGTCGCTCAGTGTGTTATTAACGTCTTTTCCAACTACTTACAGATAGAAACTCAATTGCGTGTGGAAACTATGACTTGGGTTAACAATAAATAGCTGAGTAAGTTCTGTGGTGTGCTAATCTTATCTCTGAGTGCTGTTTTAATCTTTGCACCTTCAGCAGTAGTTGCTCTGGTTGTCCTGCTTCTTTGCTAAACATTTTGACTCTATGCTTGGTTTATTCCTTCTGCTGTCGTTGAACTCTGATTGACATGTCGTGCCTTTCTGTGTCTGGATGAATGAGTAGACCGCATGGACCTGGAGGAACCTCATCGGGTGGACCAGCTACAGGAACCTCTGCTAGAGGCGTTAAAGATCTACGCTCGCCGGCGACGCCCCAACAAGCCTCACATGTTCCCACGAATGTTGATGAAGGTCACTGACCTCCGAGGCATCAGCACTAAAGGTACACATTGTTTATGTCAGTATGGTACTCAGTACGAAGAATGTGATAAAGTCTTGGAACTTTACATTACGATATGTTTAAAGCGCACTCGCCTATAGTTGATAGCTGCTGACTTCTACTCGATGCAAACTCTACTACACACTAAAAGTCTTCACGAATCCACTTAAATCTGAAAATCCGAGGTCCGACCAGAGACTCAAGCAGGTTTGGGTGCAAAACTTCGATGAATACCACAGACACGAGTTCAGTGTTGGGGGTAACGCATTACAAGTAACGCGAGTTACGTAATCAGATTACTTTTTTCAAGTAACTAGTAAAGTAACGCATTACTTTTTAATTTACAAGAGAATATCTGAGTTACTTTTTAAAAAATAGTTTTTTCTAATTTATTGATTGACAGCTCTCCTGTCCCCATGTTGAGAGAAATCAGAAGATGCTACTGTAGTTCTAAAATAAATATGAATATGCATTAATTCATCTCACTCACAAAATAAAAAAAACAGATTCAGTATTCCTCAAAATAAAATAAAAAAATGCAACTCAGAATATAACTCAAACCTGCAATAATTAAATGTTAAACAACACAAATATCCTTTATGTATTTAATCCCATTCTATAAAGCAATGTCTTTGCTTCTGACCTTCGATGATCCAGTTCAACCGTACTAATAAGAAAAAATCACACTAGGCAAACATTTGTGTCTTTTTTTATTGCTGAAGTGTGTTGAAATTTCTTCTTCTGCATTCTACTGTACGGACGTAATTTTACTTTCCCTTCAGCCTGAGGCTTATTCACTTCACTTTTGGTGTGAAAAGGCTTTTATATTTGCCAAAAATATAACTTTTTTATTTTAAAAACAAACAAGCAAGCCTTGTCCAGATTTAAAAAGTAACGCAAAAGTAACGTAACGCATTACTTTCCATAAAAAGTAACTAAGTAACGTGATTAGTTACTTTTTTATGGAGTAACGCAATATTGTAATGCATTACTTTTAAAAGTAACTGCACGAGTTAGGACTGACATTAGTAGCCTTGGATCTTGGGTTATTTTAAATGCGTGCTTTTGCCGAATGGACCCAAAAAGACCCAACTTCTTTTAAAATCTGCCAACTTTCCATTATTTCGTTTATTAATTTATGCATGTCGGGTCCACGAAGTCCAAGAAGTTTGGGTCGGGTACAGATCTTAAGACCTGAGAGTACCTCTGCTACACACTGATGATAAATGTGTCCCTGGAGCACAAAAGCAGTCTTATGTCACTGGGGTATAGTTTTAGCAATAGCCAAAAAAACATTGTATGGGTCAGAATTATCGATTTTTCTTTTATGTCAAAAATCAATAGGATATTATGTAAAGATCATGTTCCATGAAGATATTTTGTAAATTTCCTACTGTAAATATATCAAAACTAATTTTTTTAAATCTTTGATTAGTAATATGCATTGCTAAGAACTTAATTTGGACAACTTTAAAGGCGATTTTCTCAATATTTAGATTTTTTTTGCACCCTCAGATTCCAGATTTTCAAATAGTTGTATCTCAGCCAAATCTTGTCCTGTCCTAACAAACCATACATCAATAGAGAGCTTGTTTATTCAGCTTTCAGATGATATATACATCTCAATTTCGAGAGATTGACCCTTATGACTGCTTTTGTGCTCCAGAGTCACAAATATGTAAAATATGGACCTAAAAAAACACAAAACATGAAGACGATCATCTTTGTGTGTTTGTTTAGGAGCAGAGCGAGCCATCACTCTAAAGATGGAGATCCCAGGCCCCATGCCTCCTCTGATCAGAGAGATGCTGGAGAACCCTGAGGTCTTTGAGGAGAGCTCTGACTCTAAAGACACCGGTGCTTCTGCCCCCCTGCCGCCTCCCGCCATCCAGGCCATCAAACGTGAGAGGGATGAGGAATCTGCTCTGGAGGATGAAGAAGACGAGGATGATGAGTGTGTGGAGGAGGGACGGGACCGAGCAGGGGACAGCGAGGATGAGGAATGGGGACTCCTGCAAGTGGACATGGGCGGAGCTAGGAAGAGTTCGACAGGAAGAGCACAGTGACCGCCGGAGGACAGTATGTATGCGGGTCTGATACATACAGTGGACAACATTGGTATTCCAGACACCTTATTGGTTGATACAAACAAAATCATTCAGTCAAGCAATTTCCCATAATGACTCAAAAAATAAGCTTCATATGACAAAAAACATGCACAACTTTGCACATCTAGTTTCCCCCAACTTTTCAAAAGCAGTAAAAATGAACCGTATAAAAAGAGAAACCCTTAAGAACATGCCAACACTGTTACTTATGACAGTGCTTCTCTAACTGAAAAGAGAGAAATTAAAACGAATTCAAGACCAGAGAAAGATACGCCATAGTGCCATATCTGGAAGTTACTTGTTGTATGCATATTTTGTACTTCATTTGGAGATGCCAAATATTTTAGAATGCATCCCAAAGCCTTGTTCTGTAAGGGAAACATTTTTTAATGACTGCATGTGGATACATAATCAGAACTGATCAATGAGAAAAGAAAAAAAGAACAGCAAACAATCACATACAGTAAATGACCAATTCAACACAATGGTCTAAAAACATACATTTACTGCATAATGTAACTTTGTACTCTTGATGTCGCATTGTCTCAGTTCTATTTTATTTTGAATATTCTCAGCAACTCTGTGCTTCTTTCAGTGTGTTATTATGTGTTATTGATCACATGCCTCTTTACGAAACACTCCAAATTCACAGCCCTACAGCCATACAACTCTACATCTAAATTTGACACTTACACCAACTTTAGGTTTTGGGCATTAGAAGATTATAAAATTACATTTAAAGATTGAAATACATCACATTATTACAAATCAAACCTTTCACTCAGGACAAATCAAGGACCAAAGGTGATCTACATGTCTCAGAACATGCGTGCAGCATACATATATTTTATCTTCAGCTATTCTATATCATTAAGCAAAAAGAAACATTAAAAGCTAAAATGGAACATTTTTCTCTGGGATTTAGAAGAGTTGTCAAACATGAGCCGAGCATCTCAGCAAATATGAGCAGTGGTGTGCACAAACTGTTCCTTTCAGTCTCGTAATAACTGACTATAAAATACATTCGTTTCTTTGCAGGTAGTGAAAGAAAAATGTTAAAATTATTGAGCTGTATAATAAAAGAGTTTTAAAACCCAGCAGATCGGAGAGGCTTCGGAAATTGACTGTGTATTGCTTTAATGGATGTTCATCAAACTATATAATAATAATAAAACTCAAATTTCGATTACATCAGTCTGTTAGAATTACCGACTTTATAAGAGTGGTCGCTTTGTACAATTCATATCATAAAAAACAGAAGAGTTGTCTAATTCAACCAAACATTAACTGTAACCAATAAGCCATTTTTTGTAAACTCTATAACAGCATTCTTTGAAGTGTGTTTGAATATTTCATATTAATATGGTAATCATTCAGTACAACAACCTGTATGGTGCCATGCAATTACCACATTCATATACCATGGTATTTACATTTTAATCCAAATGTGCTTCAAAACTTCAAAGAGTACCATGATATTAATAACATGATATTACTATGTTAACAGTTATTTGTAGGTGAGAATTATCATAGGGTAGGATGTTTTTGATTAAAAAGCACAATACACACTACAAAATTAGTTCTATAGTGAGTTCTATAGCATTTTTTCAGTATCCCTTTTGTCCTTCCGCCCTGCTAAGGTCTGTGCACGCCACTGATGACAACGTTATACCTCCTCACATGACAGAACAGTGTTACCAAAACAACTCAGAAGCTTCTGATTGCTGCGTATATAGAAGCAGCACAGCAAGATATTTGGGATAGAGCCATATGGTTTAAGGTTGTAAGCTGCATGCATGCATACTTGTATACTATTTGCTTAAAACTGTAAAGATATCTCTTTTCATCTTTCTACTTTTGTGTCACTGCAAACCATTTTATTTTAATACATCAAGAGGACATCTCAGACTTTTTTTTTTTAAAATGTTCTCTTAAAATATTTTCAAATATAAACAAACACATCATAGGCTATACATGTTCTTTTATTTATTGCTTATTTATCCTCGTCTTGTTACATTGTTGTTCTGTCTGTAGTCAGTGATGCATGTTATGAACTGGGTCTTTGACCGCTCCCAGAATTCCTTGTCTATCTCTTATTGATATCCTCTCACAGTGTGGAGGAGTTTGTCTGTTTGTACCGCCATTGTACTAATCAGCCAAAATGTAGATGTTCTTAGACAACAAAACGAGATCATCAGAATGAATGCATGATCACCACAGAGTATGCTGGATAAATCTGCAGTGATCATAAAGTCTAGCAGCTTCATGTAAATGCACTGATCCGGATATGTGACAGGGTAAATATGGCCTGCACCGGCAGCAGTAAATGGTGGTACTCAACAGAATTAGTTGATCTCTTCCAGAGTCTATACTTCCATTCTCAGACCAAAGACAAATTTGCAGTTTTTGTTTTGGCATGTACATGCATCCACATATGGTGTGTGTTATTACCAAGAGAACATAGCCATGTCTCTGGAAACATGAGAAAAGTCCCTAGAAACGCATTAACCCTTCCAAGTCAGTTTAGCTTTGATAAATCTATTAATGTAGCAGTCCATGGCAAAGTGTAATTTAAGAAGGCCACAGGATATTAATGTTTTTGCGAATTATCAGAGCAAATGTTTTTTGGCATACTTTCTTTCCCCTCCAGACTCATTGTCTGTTTTGTAAATTAAACATGAGATATTGGATTTAATTAGAGACTTTGATTTTTATTTTATTTTTTCTTTCTTAAATAGTGTTTATCTTTTGTGCTTGTGTTTTGCCATTTAGTGCAGTAGTGGTCAAATTTTTCCTTAATGAAGAATGTTTTTCTGGTGGTTTGGAATATGTGTATATTACCTGTTTGTTTATTTGCATTATTTGTTGCTAAGTTTGTCATTTTATTTGTGACTTGATCTCTTCTGGGTTTTAAAACATAGGAAACATGGTCATTTAAGGGTTAGAACTGCTAAGAAGAATACACAGACAAGTTTGTGTTTTAATGCATATTTTTTATTTTACAAAATTATTTGTATTGATCTTTGTTTGTTTGTATTTTCTGTGTTCTAATTACTAAAAGTCGTTAACTATCGTTCACAAACTATGTTCTTTCTTGTAAAAAGGATACCTGTTTTTTTATTCTTATTGTTTTAGCAACAGGTTTTAAATATAATAGCATTTAATGTCTGTTTGTATTTTTTTCCTGCCATGCCTCATCTCCCCATTCTTATTTTGCTAATTTCTTGTTTTTAGCATTTGTCTCGGTTATGTGCCTTGCAAAAAATGTTTCAAATGCACAACTTCTGGAAATTGTTACAATAATCTTACTGTACATGCAAGTTAAAGTCCTTAAGTATTAATGACTTTAAATGATGTCCACATAATGTCTGGCTACATTCTTTTTTTTTTTTTAATACTTTGTTTTCCAAATGCTTTGATTTTATAAAGACATTTCTCATCAAATTCTGTACAGTCATACTTTCCTGCTGAACTGGAAGAGGTAACTTTTTGTGTTTTCTTATACAGTATTTATCTTCACTGCGAGTGTTTCATAGAGCCAGATTTTGTTTCATCCTGCTGTATTATCTTATGCTGAGCCATTGCAGACTGTTTTAACATATTTGCCACACCATCAAATAACCATTAAAAAGTAGAAATCAAAATCAAAATCATAATCTAAAGTAGAAAATCTAAAAATGAAAACAATTCAAATAATCCAAAATATCCAACACATTGTTTTGTTATTTTACTAAAACAGAGCCATAGAGTAGTAAATACTTATAATAAAGGGAACTAAATCCTAGTCATAGAGGAACTGTTTAGAATGAACGTCCTTCATCATCTAAACTGCCTCTTAAAGGGGTCATAGGATGCTACATGCACTTTTACAAGTTGTTTGAACTGAAATGTGTGTTGGCAGTGTGTGTACACAACCACCCTATAATGATACAAATCCACCCAGTGTTTTTTTTTTATCTGGTTAAATGTTTTCCCCTTTCTCAAATCGAGTCGATCTCAGATGCCTGTCTGTGTGACGTCACACAGGCAGGCCCCTCCCACGATAGTTTGATTGACAGTAGCGTTTCAGCACAGACTTATGGTGTCTTACCTTAGCTCCGCCCTGATTGAGCTGTCATCAGTCCGCCATTGTTTCACCACCGGAGCAGTTGTAGACAAGAATGACTCCTGAGTGGTTGAGGTGTTTTGTTGTTGGATGTAATAATGAACAGCAGTCCTCATTTACTCCCGATATCTGAGCCGCTGAACTCGCAGTGGATTACATTTGTTTTTGAAGGGAATGTGCCCCCAATCTACATAAATGCTTCTATGTTCGCGTGAATCATTCGTGATCCAGCCTCATCTATAGAAGAAGTGAGTATAATGTTTTGTAATGAATCTTTGCAAATCGCCTTTCCTAATAATGTGCTAATTAGCAAATTTCACGATGAATGCGGCTAAAGTAAACAGTCTCTCTGAGAGCAGCTCGGAAGAGAGGGGCGGGGTCAGCAGAGCTCATTAACATTTAAAGGAAAATGCTACAAAAATGGCTTGACAGGGTAAAAAAAATGTGTTTTTTACACTACCATTGAGAAATTTTAACCAAACTATGTTACAGACTTTTCATTAAGACCCTAAAGAATCATATCAACTTGTGGAAAATGGGCATCCTATGACCCCTTTAATGGCAAGTGACCTTAGTGTTTCATCTCGTGGGCCTCATTTATAAAATGTTGCACAGAACCATCTTAAATTTGATCTTACAAACATCTCTCAAATATGCATACGTGTGATTCATAGAATGAATGTATGCACAGAAAACACACGTACGCGTCTCTTTAAGATGTAAAATCTATGAATTGCAAATTATCTTGAACTTGGGCACGCTGCACAACTGAATGGTTTCAGCTATCTGCCTTATAATCGACTCCTAATTAATGTTATTAACATATAAAAGATCACCAGTCATCATCCAAATTCTTTAATTTAGAACAGCGAGCTGCAAAAACAGCTTACATTTTCAAAAACCTGCTGTACTCGAACTAGAAAAAATTTCAGTGCATTTCTGTACGTACGCATATTTGAAAAATGATCGTAAGATCAATTTTAGGATGGTTTCTGCGCAACATTTTATAAATGAGGCCCCTGGCCTTTAGCAAGGTACCAAATTGCAAATTGGCCCCTGGGAGTTGTACTTCTAAAATAAAATGCCTAGCTTTTCAACAATAAGAGCAATTCTGCTCAATAACAAGTTGCTAAATGTGTGTTGGATAAAACCAGATGGATATGCTTGATTGCTTTCCACATTTAGTCTTAGTGACCAACGAAACTTCCAATGCAGTGCAGTGTATGAAAACTGTGAGAAAATTAAGCACAAATTACTACAAGACAACTCAATATTGATATGATCCACCTTCATGCTAAAGGTATTTAAGGCTTCTGGATCTCATTACTAAAATGTTATTTTTACTATAGGAAATGATATTTCCATGATATACTATTTTATAATATAACGTAATTGTGAGTTGCAGGTTCCACAATTTATTAATGGGACAATATGATACAGTGAGAGCAAAATGCATACAGTAGGCAGTTAGTATGCATCTCTCATTGAATGCTTCCGTTGAAAATAACCAGACTTAATACAGAAGATATGCATCAATTGTTTTAGACTCCTTGGCACCACACCAGAAATGCTTTTGGTTAGGAGGGTCATTCTTTATAATGAATGAAGAACAAAAATACAGGCAAAAAGAATAAGACTAAATAAATGACTGCTATAATTAAAGTTCTTTGAACAAGATCGATAATATGCTTCACATTATTATTATTATTAGATTAGATTTTTTTTTTTTTAACAAGCTATAGCCTTTAATGGCCTCATTTATCTGACCACCGCAAGGGCTGTTTCCATAGTAACTTGCCAGCAGCGGGCATGTTAGTAGGGTTCTGGTATATTTTATTCCCTTGTTTTATGATTAAACCAGAAAAATGTAAAATAAATGAACAAAAACAATTTTTAAAGTTTGGGCTCCTAAATATTAGATCACTCTCACCCAAAGCAGTTATTGTAAATGAAATGATCATAGATAATAGTTTTGATGTACTCTGCTTGACTGAAACCTGGCTAAAACCTAATGATTATATTGGTCTAAATGAGTCTACTCCACCAAGCTACTGTTATAAGCATGAGCCCCGTCAGACTGGTCGTGGTGGCGGTGTTGCAACAATATATAGTGATATTCTCAGTGTTACTCAAAAGACAGGATATAGGTTTAACTCGTTCAAAATACTAATGCTTAATGTTACACTGTCAGAATTAAACTGAACTGAGCTGGATGATGACATCACTGAATTCAATGATGAACTGTCTTTAACTGAAAAATGAGTGTTTACTATTGTCATTTTGCATTATTGACACACTATTTTCCTAATTAATGCTGTTCAGTTGCTTTGACACAATCTGTATTGTTAAAAGCGCTATATAAATAAAGGTGACTTGACTTGACTTTTATGTGCTTCTGTCTTCATGTCTGATATGAAATAAGGCTACTGTAATATAGTAATGTAAAAAAACAGTGAGGACATGTTAATATGCTGAAGACAAAGGTGGTTTTCTTGAACCATGGCTATTTTAATTTTGTGCTTGAGCTTTACAAGCTGTACATCTTTCACTTTTTTAAAGTTATAATTCACCCAAAAATGATAATTTGCTGAAAATGTACTCACCCTCAGGCCATCCAAGATGTAGATGATTATGTTTCTTCATCTGAACAGATTTAGAGAAATGTAGCATTACATCACTGTCTCACCAATGGATTTCACTGGAGGAAGCTTTATTATGGATTATGGACTCTCCATAATTTGTCTGGACTCTCATTCTGACGGCACCCATTCACTGCAGAGGATCCA